ATCTACTTTTTTTTAGCTTTATCCTTTGGGATCAAGGACTGTTCAGACAGTGTGAGCATAAAGAATCTGATTATAGTTAGGGGTCTTCAGTGCTTCTGTAATGCAAGCAAATACATTCTCTGCCAAAAGGTGTGTTCTCCCATCAGGGCAGAAACAAAATCACTGCACATGTATAGCTGAGCAGGCACCTCTTCCCCCACGATGGGGTCAAAATCCCAGCACGAGGCTGGGTGAGCAACACTCAGATTTCCCTCCGCCCAATGCTTTTCTCCAGGCAGCTCTTGTTTCACCTTCAGTTAAAGTTTAGCTGTCTGCTATACATTCGGTACCATCTCTTTAAAGATGTACATCTGAATGGGCAAGAAAGTTAGGGATTAGCAATGGGCAGAGGTCAAGTCCGTCAAGACTTTAAGCATGTCGTTGGTTGTAAAAAAGATTACATTACGGCAGCTCTTTGCCAGATCAGTACTTCGATGCCAAATGTTAATCCTTGCTGGGGACAAGATGGCTTGTAAATGTTATAGGAGAACATAGCTTTTCCTGTAGAAAACAGGCATTTATGGTTAAAACACAGGGATTATTTTCTCATGCTTACGTTTGCATTTCATGCTGATTCACTCCTGCTTGCTATGAGCTTCGCTTCACTACTTACATTTAATCACTTAAGGTCTTTATTTGTATAGCTAAGGAGAGCATGGTTGAGTTCTTAAAGCACTGGGGAGCAGAAGAAGCAGAGCTCAGCCTCAAACTTTCCCAGAGAACTTGCTGTCTGGACAAAGCCTGTTTGCTTGCTGAACTTTAGTTTTCCCATCTGTAAAATGGAGCTGCATATAAAAAGGATCCTGTAAAATTTTATTTATGACTGTCAGAAGAGAAGTGTTTATTGGATTTATAAAGCAATCTACCTATTTTAGTGTGGCTAACTATATATCTGTGACTTTATAAGTAATATCCTTTCCTACAATTAGATAGCTTTGGGTGAGCTCAAGTTTCCAGGTCAGTTGTTTATATCAAGACAGCCAAGGCAAAAGCCAACACAAGATTTTAAAATAACAGAAGACTCAGTTCCCAAAGTTTATTCTGCTGTGGACCAAAAGCATAGCTGGATGTAACCAGCAGCTGTTATTAAATGTGTGCAGAACACTGCATGTGAGTAAGCATAGTCAGGAAATTAATATTGTACCAGTAGATCTCCAACAGCTGACTGTGCTCTTACTGCTATACCCCGGTGCTCAAACTGTAGGAAGTCTTTCGGCTGTCCCATGTGAAAGGGAAGCAAGCAAATCTGAGCACAAACTGTGCTCACACCTGCTTTTGGCATCTTGAGATCCTCAGTGTCTCTGTGCCTCAGCTTCTCATCCTATTTTGGGAGGTAATGAAACTCTATGCTAAGGCAGAAATTAATAAAGCTGCACTTTAAAGGGTCTGATAAGGTCAAAACCCCTAGTGCCTGATGCACGTGGGTTCTAGAGTAAAGGGGACTGTGTAAGTTCCCAGGTAGATTTGATAACAGAGTTCATAAAATAAGAAAAGCAAATTCAATCTGAGGAAACCTGAGCTTCTAGGTTTCATGCCACATACACTTCAGAGCTATAAAATTAGAACACTCTGGCAGAAGGGGATTCAACATTTTTTTCTGGCAAGAAGTAAAAAATGATATGCAGCATATAAGTATTAAACTGTGTTAGTTCAGTTTTGTTATGCAGATGGATTTTTTTTTCCTTCTCTTCTACTCTTTAAAATGTTTTGAATTAAAATAGCTTACTCAAGGTCACTGAAGGCATATGGTCCTGCTCAAAACTTTAAACAAAACATTAGTTTTTACAACCTTTTGTAATTTGGTATTGTATACAACATGGTTATAGACGGAGTTTCTGTAATCTTTGCAGTGGGTGACAGAAATATGAGAGCCAAATTTATAAGCCATTTAGTGAAGCATTTAATCAATTTCATGCATAGGAAATAACTCCGATTGCTTTGCTTTATCAATCTTGCTTTCTCAGAGACCTGCAGTCACCCCAACCTCAAAACACTTAAGTGCGTGTGGGGGGAACCATATGCAAATATCTAATGCTGTACACAGCATCAGGAACTTCTGAGGGCTGCTTAAACTTACTTGCCAGCATCAATAATCCTTCTTGAGGCTGTTAATATATTTCAGAAGGAAGGCAGAAAGCCTAATATTTAGAGGAAGTTGCAAGGCCTCTTTTTACAGAGTTTTTCATTAAACACCCTTTGGCTAGAAGGAGTCTTTGACACCGTGTGGAGTTATGCAGATTAAACTTGCCTCTAGTACTGAGGTGGTTGCGTATGTTGCCTTCAAGCACTTACGAACGCTTAGAAAACCTCCCTGCATGGCAGATCCCTGTTTCAATAAAATATGAATCACATATCGTTTGACAAGTTGAGAGACACACTGCCCGAGATGATGCTGCTCGCTACGGCCACAATAAGAAAAACAACACATTGAGGTCTAGAGTGCCTTGAAGCCCATGTAAGAGTTAAGAGTCCCACTCACCCATGACTGTAACTGGGGGAAGTATCTGGGGACTTTGTCTTGTAAGAGACTGAAGAGTTAGAAGAATTCCTCTTTTGGTCTTCAAACCATGGCTTTGGATGGACAACATGATCCTTTGCATTGGGCAAGCAGATGGGAACAACACTCCTGACCCCTTCCACAAAGAAATTTATGAATTGGAAGGTCCTAGTTCTGTTCTTTATCAGTGGCATCTGTACTCAATAAGGTGATGGGATAGAACTGGTCTACTGGTATATGCAGCACATGTTACTACACTTTCTTCAGAAGGCAAAGGAAAATATTGTTCAGGCCAACCTCATTCACTTCTCCAGTATCTGAAATCCCTACCTGGAGTAAGAGGTAGGGCTTAAAAGACTATTTCAGAGCACACCTTTTTCTCATGTACTACAACAGCTTGTACAATACCTTCATCAGAGTACTACACAGCAACTTTTTTTCCCCGAGTGAAAAATTCCTGAAGGAGCAAAAAGGCAATCTCTCTGATAATCATCAGCTGCTCAACTATATTAAATTTAGACAAGGCTACAATAGTGACAGAGTTGTCCCCTGCCCTCTAAAATTAGAACTGAAAGAATGGTGGGTATAGCACTAAATATAAAACTCATTTAAAAATAATGTGCTCTCAGGCTTTCCTAATGCTTGAAAAACTGATCATCATAAATCCCTGAAGATCTGTTTGCACAGCCAGACCGCCTCCACCAGTCCCAAACATGTTTCAGTAGGATATGTCCTTTTCTGAACATTGACTTTTCTTCACAGTATATAAGAAAAAAATCAGTAAAGGTTTGCTGTAGTTAAACAATACACTTAGTTGTTTAGGAGAACAAAAGCTTAACCTGACCTCTGCTTTCTATTTAGAAACAGAAAAAAAAAAAAAAGGAAATAAAAAGAAAGAGTTCATATTTACTACCTCTCATAAGCACTAGTCCTGGAAGAGTTGATAGACACTATCCATTTGAAATGATCACAAACGTGAGCTTTAGTCCTTCAAGCTATAGAAAAACCTTAACAGTTCTATACTGAAAAAACCCAACAAATTAAGACACCTCGTGTTCTGTTTCTCAGCTCTAGGAAAACCTTAGTGCTAAGAATTCCAGAATAAATAAAGTAAGCAAGGTGGATTAAGAGCAGCTTCGCAGAGAAACAAAGCCATAGAAAACACCTTTCTTTCCTTCAGGTTCAGAACAGCTCCTACGTAGAAGAAAACCTCTCCTTTCCTCCCCAGCTCCCTTTTGCAACACATAGGAAACCCCAGTTTGCACTGAATTTATAGTCAGTTGGGACCTGGGATGTAAATTGGCCCAGAGGAATGCTGGGACCTTAGAAGTCTCCATCTTATGAGACAAGGGGTGTCTTGGAAAATTGAGTCTTTTATTTGCCGGCTATTTCTCTTTTTTGGTTATTTCAGCTATCAGGGCATCTGCAGCAGATAGTGTGTCTTTCAGAAGAGTGACATGAGCGGATGGGAATTATTTGTTTGGCAGGGTTTCATGGAAGTACCCCAAAACCATTCCACTGTTTGGTGTGGCTCTTCCTTGGGGTGGGGTGAATACATTGGCTCCATAAAAAGCTAAATCCCACTTAACTAGAAAAATCAAACATGGTGACTGCATGTGAAGTTGGGTGATTTTAGCTAAAGGTGATACTGCTGCTTTAGTACAAAATTTGCTTAAAAAATAGTGATTTTTTTTTCTTCTCCTTTACCACCCCCATCTCCCTTCCCCCCTGCTTCTGGGAAGCTGTAGGGATCTTTGGTCTGTGCTCTTGGTCTTCTATAGGGCTGTGAGAGGTGCCTGTGACACAAGAAGTGGGTCTGGACTTGATCTGCTGCAAATATAAATGCTTGTTAGGGAAGCAAACAGGTCATATTACACTATTCTTGTACCTTAAATAAATCAAGAAAGGTGTAAATGTGCTAGTCATGAACTTATTTCTCCCTTGGGCTACTTCCATGAGATGTTTCTTTCTCTTCCTTCCCCCCTCTCATTCTACTTTTGCTGTTATAGATGGCATCAGCTTATTGGAGGGTTTTGCTGAAAATAGTAATATTAAAAAGGAATGTTTTCTGTTTGCTCATCTGGAATGTTCTAGGAGGGATTAACTCTTTTAATTTTTCACCCCATAAATTTGGGGTTCCCTTTTTAGTTTTGTCTTGCAGAAATGTTAAGGCAATAAAAGTATAAGTAAAAGAAGCTGCAGGTTTTTTTTTTTTTTTCTAGATAGAGATAAACCTCTTTCAACCTTAAAGGTGATCTGCTGGTTTTGTGGTGTTTTTTTGTTTTTTTTTTTTTTTTTAATTAGCCACTGGAATAAAAATTTCTATGCTTTCCTGCTGGAGGAAGACAGATCCTACTTAGAAAAGTTTCTCACAATATGAATCTATATTTTTGGGAAGAGAAAAATACTCTAGGAACTGAAGGTTGACCTTTTTTTTTTTTTTTTTTTTTTTTTATTTTGGAAGGAATCCAGCATGTGGATCCAGTGATGAGTGGGCAGGGCAGAGCTTGTGCCTGGGGCTGGTGCTTTTCACATGTGGGACATCCTGGTCTGATGTCAAGGAGTCTGCAGTTGACTCTCGAGGTACTCCCCAAAACACATCTGGCAGAAGGTCCGTTCCCCAGATTTTATCCTCTATATCCCCAAGGAAGTGGAGGTTTGGGTTTATTCCTCTTTACTCACCAGAGTGTAAATTTGTCTTACCTCTGGGAGAATGCCTTATCTCTCAGTCTATGTTTTTTTTTTTTCTGGGGAAACTGGTGTTTTTGAGGATCTTATTCTGAAAATGATTACTTTGTCACTCCTAGGAGATGTTTGCTACTGTGTGGACTTTTCTGGACTTGGTCTAGAGTTGCCCTTTTTACTAATGAAAGTAAATGAGAATTAAAGAAATGCTACTGACTGCTCACTTGCCAAAGGTGGTTTTCCTGAAGCAGAATAAGACATAACAATTTGAAACCTCAATCAAGTTTTTTTACTGTTTAAAAAACACAATATTTTATGGAAGTAATTTATACACAGAAAAGAAGAAGGCTATTCCCAATATTATCTTTATCTTCTAGACATAAATAACAAACAACTCTGGTAATCAAAATTTACTGCAATTGTAATAGGTTTTGGCATCATTTATGTATCGCAGGGAATGTTAACATAATGTTGACTTTCAGGACTGAGGCCAGGTTTTTTTGATTTTTTTTTTTTTTAAGCCTGGATTCATTATTAAAAAAAAAAAAAAAAAAAAGAAAAAAAAGAAAAAAAAAAGACCGGTATATCTGTGGCTTTTATGGCATTTGAGAGATTAATTCTCATAAATAACACTGTTTATTTCTCCTAATCAGAAAGTTGAAATTATCTGTGACAATGTGAACACTAAAAAGTTGTATACTATGAAAATATTTCAATAATTAATGCATGCACTATCTAGAGCAATTGACAGTGAGGTCATAAACATAATGGGCCATCTGTGTTTGATTTGTATCTGAAAATGCTTAAAGGGAAAGGCAGGTAATTCAGGCTTCTCTTACAAATGTAGACAGGCAAGATTTTTCACCTTCTCAGAAGGTTGTTGAACCATTTCATTGCTTTAAAGAAGTAGAAAAAGAAAGTTTTTCCGGGCTAGAGCCTTTTAACACACCTGCATTCTGCTTTTGCTCCTGTACTCTCTGACAAGCAGAGCACACCAGTGGGACTTTTAGTTTTCTTTTAGAGTACACAGAGGGTTGTCATTCTCCCTTATTTACTTTATATTGTTTGCTCTATAAAAAATGCTACTTCAGGCTCCTGAGCAATCCCACTACCTCACTTTGCATTCTGGGACCCGGGTTTAAATAGTTTCCTTTGGACCTTTCCAAGTTCAAATCTGTGCTGGCCTGTTGAAAGACAGCAAAACTTTTATGCAGAGATCTGGCTCGTTGCATCTTTATGACCCTTCTCTGGATTTGTCCCAGCTTGTCTTCTGAACCTTTTCTCCCTTGTGAAAGGCGAGGTTCAGGTTACCTGCATATTTGGGATGGGATTTAATTTAGTGCTAGATTTCTGTGTTGTAGTGGGGAGAAACGGATTGTCCTGCTATCATTAGGAATAACTCTTTATCTCTGAACTTATATGCATTGGCATAAAGCCAATATCAAGCTGGAATGACTCAATAAATAAACAACCAAATACCCCTCTTGTTTTCACTGGCTGATCTGATGACAGTCGGACTCTCCTGCTCTTGGCACTGACTGAGGCTCACTGAAGGAAATGCCATTATCTTTCCTGTGCCAGGCAGAGATTAATACATTCTTAGAAATTGAATCCAGACAGTACTTCTAAATGATTTCATGTGACCTCCTGTATATCAGGGCTATTAAATACTACAAATTACCTATGATAAGACTAGAGATTGCAACCTATTTAAAACTCTCTACAATTTTTTTCCCTCTGCTCTGCCCTTTCTTGTTGTCCAAATATTAAGTGTAGGCAGAGAATAGGTCATAGCAAGGTAGCACTAATGTCTAGAGGAGCTGGCTGAAATATATCCAGGTAATCCCACACAGTAAGAATTCCCTCACTGTCCCTGATAATCTGATCTGGGATTAATTTCTTTCTCAGATTTGAAACTGCTGATCTGTATGATCCTGAGCATGAAAAGAACAGTCACCAGCTACTGCCTGCGAGATCTCTCCATTGCCTCTGAAATTTTTGAGCACCTCTTCATCATCTCATGCCTAACATTGCAAAATCTTTGATGTAGCTGAGGGAAAAAATACTGGAATAAAGCAAAACCAGAAGTGGAATTATATCACCAAGGTGTGAGAATTATTCTTGATATTGCAAACACCTGTCTAAAGCCCAGGACTCAAGCATGAATATTTTCTTAATGTTGAGCCACAGGGGTAATAAAAGAAGACAAGGCAAGGCCTCAGATTCACAGAGTACTAAGAGGAGGACTTTGGTCTATGGATACTGAGGCTGGCAATACACTTCCCTCACTTGCATAAGCGTCCTTCTTTTCCCCATATCCTCTCAAATATGAGTGTGCATAAATTGCTGGTTATTCCAAGTCAGACCATGAAGGTGTTGTCTCAATTAAAGTGGATAAACACCCTTCAATTATGTTTATCTTCAGCTACGCTGTTGTATCTACAGATTGAAGACTTTCTCCCAAGAGCTACAGTAGAACCTTTTGTGTTTTGTTTTTTTTTTTTTTTTCTTTTTAGAAAGCACATTTCGCCTTAAAGACTTCAAGCTCAAAGTTTAGCAGTTGTCAGTACTGGGAAACCGCATCTTACTTCAAAGCTGAGTTTCTGTAACTTCTGTTTCCACTTTTGCATCTTGTCATGTTGTTGGCAGCAAGGTCAAATGCCCCACGTTATCCAATATTCTCCCTGCGTATGGGTACCACTGCTTAGAAATCAAGTCCTCCTCCTTCCTTTTTTGTTCAACTGCAGAAGCTGAGTTTATATGTTGCACCGTAGTGCTTGTTTCTAGTACCTAGATTATTTTAATCTCCTATGGTTTTACTTCAGTATTTGTCTCTGTTTTGAAAGTAGAGTTGGACCCAGCTATCTATAGATTTATCTTACCAGTGCTTTTTGTCAGAAACAAGATCGTTTCCTTGTTTCCACTTAGATCTTTTTTTACACTAGCTCTGGACTCCAGAGGGTTTTAGCCTCTTTATGCTATAGCATTAAGTAGGGGTGGAGATTAAATCCTTCAGGTTCAACTGTTTTGAGACAATTTCCCATTCTGTAAAAGTAACCTTGTTCCCTGACTTTTGCTGTAATTAGCTACATTACAATAAATGCAGAATAACAGACTGCTCTGACTCAGAATCTCCCATCATTTGCTACCGTAATAATTCTTCCCGTCATCTACAGATTTCATTAACACAGTTTTATGTACTATGTGAAAATCATCATAATATAGTTCGTTATACTGTAAATTTCAGGTTGGGTCAAACCAAAACAAAACCGGACCCAAGCAGAGTCTGTGACAAATGCTTAGGGAAAGATTGCTAGAAGGATGGCTCTGTACCCTCCCAGTTTCATAATCAGCAGTTAAAAGACATCTAGAACTGATGGTTAATATTACTCAGTGAAGTTTCATGTTTTTTTAAATTCATATATACTTTTGTTCTCTGCAACATCTATGAAAATGAGTTCAATCATTTAGTTTGTGCTGAGGAGAAAAATGCTTTCTTGTGATGGGTGCTATATATTGTATTATGAAAAATAGTGAATAATCATTCTCTCCTTACCTTTTCTACTCCGTTCCAGATTTTATAGGCTAGATATCATGTCCCCTCTTTCTTTTTTTTTCAGGTATTCTTTACTTGAAAGAAGGCAGCAAGACGTTATAGTCTTCTGTATCTATTTTGAGTCAGAATGACCAGAACTACCAGGGTTTTATACATGGCATTAGGATATTTTCAGGGTTTTCATTCTCTACTCATGTTCTTGTATCTTATTTTCCCTTTTGTGAAGCACTGAATTGATGCTTTACAGTAAATTATTCACAATCACTGAGATCTTTCTGGCATAGATGTGCCTAGAGCCTGTGTGTGTCTGTATTGTACTTGCATTGCTCTCCACCCAGTGACACTGAATTTCTCCTGTTTTTCTAATACCCTGACATGTAGTACAGTGAGATCTTTTAGCTTGGATAGTCTTGGGATATTTCTCTATCATTTGTCCATATATGATCAGCATAGTTGGTAACAGACTCCTGGTGGGACTCCGATCAAAACCTCTCTCCCCAGTCTGAAAACTGGGCATTTATTCTTGTAACCATCTCATCTTATAATAGCTGAGTTTAAGGGCCTTTGCTGTGAAACCTTCTCAAAATCTTTTTAAAAATCTGTGTACCCCTCCTGGAGATGCACGTGCATTTGCTGATTCCCACAATAGAACTTTATTAAAAGGGTTTGTACAGAGCAAGGAATGGTGCTGAGTATCACTTGGCATTAAAAACTGTGGTGGTTTTCCTTAGTTAAATTTAAGATAATTTCAAAAGGAGAGTGTGGTTTTCTACTTAGGACCGTGGTCTGGCATTCAGAATATCCAGGTTATACTCCTTCTCTGCCAAAAATCTGTCTTACTGAGCAAGTTGTTTCATCTTTCTGTGGTGCAGTTGTGCAGAGGTGCAATCATTATTTCTTCCTTCTCCTCTGTTTAGCTTCTAAGCTTTCCAGGATAGGGGCAGCGTATTTATATGCACATTTCTTTAAACCGTTTTGTTTGTTAAATCTGGATAATGCTGTAATCCAAGCTGATAATGCATTTGTGATGGTCAGATAGTTCGATAAGGGCATTAGGTTACTGTTTTTAATCAGTTTCTATTTTACTCTTTCAATAAATATATTTTTTTGAATTTTTGTGATACGTTATCTCAATGGGAATATTTGTTTTGGCCATTAAATCAACCAGCATGCTGTAAGCAGTTTTCAAATTCTGTGTTATTTCGAGTAAAATTATTTTGCTATTACTCTGCTGTTTTAAAGAAGCTAGTTGGACTCAAGCACTAATAATGTCAGCAAAAAAGCCAAGAACTTTTTTCCTGAGATTTTACTAAGTGTGATAATTAAGAAATGTGAAAAGAAC